GTGCTATTTGTATGGCAAATTCATTTAGCTAAATTTATTTTTGTGGTCTTTATATTACTTCTGTGGCTTTTGTTCATCTTCCATTGTGTCTTTACTTAGTGATGGGTATTTTTTCTGCTGTAATACGTAGAATGGGAAATCTATCATCTTACCAGTCTATTGTTTATTTAAATATCAGAAAGTGTTTGATCATACTTTCTGAGTAAGAGTGTCTGTGAAAAGGGTGGTGTGTTGTGGTGTTTGGTTTTGATTTCAGTTTTACAAATTTCCTTGAGATTTTGTTGTTGATATTAAGTCTGGCATTGATTTCAGTAATGATTCAAGAATACATTTGCACTCATGGTCCTCATGTTTCTACCTCCAGAGTAGTCCAAGTGTAGATAATCTACTCCCAATATGTGCTGTTTTGTAAGACAACAATGTTAATTTTAAAATGCTTAATACATAAGAATATAAGAAACATTAAATACTTTATATGTGTATTCAGAGCCATATTTTCATGTATCTGGTAGATATGTAATAAAGTAGAATAATCAGTAATCAGTTGTTTATCTTACATCATCAGGACAGAGCTGTTGTGAGCAGCTTGAGGGTTCCAGGATACATCACCCTCCAGGGCTGAACTGTCCCCTTACAATTCCAGCCATCAGAGCTGTGCTAAACAGCTCCAGGTGTCCAGGACACCTTCAGGGCAGAGCTGCTCTTCTGAGAAGCTCGAGGTGTGTAGGATACCTTGCGCTCCAGGGCTAAATTGTCTCCTTGCAGTTCCCACCATCAGAGCCATCTTAAGCAGCTCAAGGTGTTGCCTGACTCACAGGTAGTCAGGACACCTTTCCCCAGAGTTGTTGCAACCCATTTACCTATATCATTGTTGCCAAAAGCCAGGACCAAACCCAAAGAGTAGCATACAATTTACTTACAGCTATTCTGACTCTAGGCCAGCAGAGGCAGGCTGTTTAGATGATGGGAGGTGGAGCCGCATGAGGTCTCTCAGGAGGTTTGCTGAAATAGCTTTCTAAGAATTTACTTAGTGTCTACTCCACAGGTGTGTACCCTCCAGAGTCAGTGAAGATGATTCTCCTGTATTCAAAAACGAATTCTCCATGATCATACCTGTGACAATGGAGATGAAAATAACATCATGAAAAGTTTTGAGGATGGGACTAAATATCATGACAGATTTATAAACTCCCCAAAGGAATATCTATGTGTCACTAAAATAAGTACACTGGCAGAACTATAATGCTCCAAGTGGTGCTCCCAATTTTCACCAAGGTATCACCTGTGGACTGTGAGATAGGGAACTTCTTAGGTCCAACCACAGATCCCTGATTGCAGTGCATAGTGGGATATACATGCACAAAAACATTGAAAAATTCCCAACACATACACATGTATGTGAGAGACAGAAAAAGAGATACTTAGAGAGACAGAGAGAAACTGAGTGAGAGTGGGAGAACACCATCAATATAATGCTGAACAAATGCATGTAGGTGTGTCCGCTCAGAGAGGAACAAAAGGAGGAGGGATCAGTCTCAGTCCTTGTATACACACATTTTGATGTGTGACTAGG